TTCAAAAGTGAACTACTCCTTCAACGCAGCTCAGAGCGCTCTGCGGGTTCTCCAGAGGACCTGCTCCTGTAACGTCTTCATCTCGTGTCTCCGTCAGGTGCGAGGGGAAGGATGGAGTGGGGGCGATCATGGACTCGATGGAGCTGGAGAGACAGAGAGGAATCACGATCCAGTCCGCCGCCACCTTCACCATGTGGAGACGCCACAACATCAACATCATCGACACGCCAGGTGAGACCACACACTCGCTCCTGCCGGCGGACACCAGTCAGAACCCCTGTAGACTAAATGCCACGCTAATTGTCTGGTGTTTGGACAGCGTTGCCCGCCGTAGGGTGGTGGTGGTGATAGCGTTTGGTGTGTGTGTTGTCCAGGTCACGTGGACTTCACCATCGAGGTGGAGCGGTCCCTGCGTGTGCTGGACGGGGCAGTGCTGGTGCTGTGTGCGGTCGGGGGCGTGCAGTGTCAGACCATGACTGTGAACCGGCAGATGAAGCGCTACAGCGTGCCCTTCCTCACCTTCATCAACAAGCTGGACCGGCAGGGGGCCAATCCGGGCCGAGCGCTGCAGCAGCTCAGGTGAGGCGCTCTCACGCAGGCCGTCAGAGGTCACAGGTCATGCTGCAGCTCAGGTGATGGTCCTTCACAGCTGATTGGCTCAGCTGATCCTGCAGCCAATGAGACGCTCCACATTTGAATAGTCTGTTTGAGACAATCAGGTGGTTTTATTTTGTCCTGCAGGACGAAACTGAATCAAAATGCAGCGTTTGTCAACATCCCCATCGGGCTGGAGGGAAATCTGCAAGGCATCGTGGATCTGATCGAGGAGCGCAGCATCTACTTCGACGGCCCCTTCGGGTAGAGCATGAGTTTGGCGTTGTGTAGCGTGAGCCGATCACATGGTTTCTCATCATCATCGTCGTGTGTGTGTGTGTGTGTGTGTGTCTCGTTTGACCGAAGCCAGAGCATCCGCTTTGCCGAGATCCCGGCGGAGATGCGGTCCGAGGCGTCCGACCGCAGACAGGAGCTGGTGGAGTGTGTGGCCAACGCCGACGAGACGCTCGGAGAGATGTTTCTGGAGGAGAGAGTTCCCTCTGTGGACGACCTCAAGGTCTGTCTGCCTCCTACACACACTTTACTTTAATGTGTAATTAACAAGTAATTGTACGGTTTAAGTACAGTATAATTCTATCGGTTATGTCATGAGTGAACAGTTGAGAAAGAAATCGGATGTTTGTCAGTTTATTCGGTCTTAAAGTGACAGCAGCCTAATATTTCTGCTGTCATCTGTGTCATTAATGTTAATAAAAACAACAAATACAGCTTTAACAAAGATGGAACTATATTTAATGTCTACAGTGAACAAATAGTGTTATTTTACATTTAGGCTTATTTATTCATTTCTGTACCTGACTATTACCGGTAGACCTTATTTAGTTTCATGTGTGCTTGTAATTTGTGTATTTGTTCTTATTTTATAGCTGACTGTTCCCTTGTCTTTAATAATCTTTGAACTTTATCAGTTAGGCTTGTAGTTTTTTTTTAAATTTGTTGTCAACGTACTTCAAGTGAGCTTTAAGTAATAAATGAGAAGTACACACACAGTATGTGTATATAATATTCTTAAATTTATATGATCCATTGCACCACTACTGTAGTAAGTATGTTTAATGTGTGTAACAAGGACATAAAGTGTTACCCAGCATCCTCATCTGAGATTGAACTTCGTAAGTGACACTATATCTCAGTATCTCAGCGGCACAGTTGATTGGATGATTTGAGGTTCCTATACCTGAGTTTGAACACGATCTGTAGTCCTGCTGTGTATGTCGGGGTCTGAAAGTGTGTGTATGCTGATGTTTCAGGCGGCCGTGCGGAGGGCGACGATCAAGCGTGTGTTCACCCCTGTGCTAGTGGGAAGTGCGCTGAAGAACAAAGGAGTTCAACCCCTGTTAGACGCTGTGCTGGAGTATCTGCCCAACCCCACTGAAGTCAGCAACTACGCCATCCTCAATCAGGAGTGAGTGCTGGAGCTGCAGCTCTCTGAAACACACCGTTACACAGAGTTACAGCTCAGTTAATGTGTGTGTGTGTCGTTTACAGGGATGCTCAAGACGGCTCAAAGATTCTGATGGATCCAACAAGAGATGACACTCAACCCTTCGTCGGCCTGGCCTTCAAACTCGAGGTGAACTTCTGAAGTCAAGTCATGTGTGAGCCGCATAGTGTACCTGTGTTAAACCTGTGTGTTAAAGGTTGTCTAAGCGATCCTGGGTGTTGACGTTCGAATATTTTCAAACAAATCGGAGCTTGACCCGCCCTCCTCCGCATCTCATCTCCTCCCCCTCCCTTCCGTCCTTCCTGAAATAATTGTGAACGTGTATTTATAGCTAATTATATCCTTGTGTGGGTTTGGCGAACATAAAGCGTCAATTTAGAAGAAAAAAACAATTTAACGTTACCCACCTGTCCAGCAAAAACAGAGCAACCTGACGTCGGACTGGAAGCCCTTCTGCCGCCGGAGTTCAAAAGCTTTGCTACCGATGTAAATTCGGAACTTCGCACGTTCTTTATCCGACTCCTCCTTCTTTTTAATTTGTTCCTCAGAACGACGTCTCTTTGGTCGTGTGTCGGCCATTTTTCAAACTTCCCTCTGACGCTTCTATCTCCTTCACACACACACCCCCTTCATGTGCACACTAGTGCTGTAGCGGCGCGTCGATGATTTGACGTCAAAATTTCGTCGACGTCATATTTTTGCGTCGACGCTTCTTTATTTATTTCTTTTTTGCATGTTCCCGGCGGTACAGCTTGCCACACACACGTGGGAGACCGAAACATTGCAGAATAGAGGACGAAAACAACTAGAAGTGAATGTGCTATCCATTAAATGAATCACACAGTAAACAAACCCTTAAGAAAAAAAACTTCGCAATTTAGACGCGCAAACTGGGTGCCGGTGTGGTCCCAGATAGCAAACTGACATTGAATCAACGTGGAAATATGACATCGAAACAACGTTGATCTGACATTGTTTTGCTCATCGAATTAACGTTGAACCAACGTCAGACGCGTCATTCTTTCAAAACTAACGGAAAATCAACTTGAAATCAACGCGTTGTTTCAACGTTATGAAAGCAAACCAATTTTCGATTTTCATTTAGCTTTGAAGAATGCCGCGTCTGACGTTGGTTCAACGTTAATTCGATGAGCAAAATCAACGTTGTTTCAATGTCATGAGAGACGTCGTTTCCACGTTGATTCAATGTCAGTTTGCTGTCTGGGGTGAGACGTACAAGCTCGGGCAGAAAAAAAGGCGTACACACAGCCAGCCACAGTCTTCCTGGTCTTGCGCACCCAACGGGTCATTTTTGCCGTGCGCACATTCGCGCTCGTGCGGACGTGTGGAGTATAAACAAGGCTTTACTCCGTGTCAGCACGCGCTCTGATCAGTAGGTGAACTCCGCCTCCGACTGCGTTTCCCTCCTCAGCTGATATTAATATTTAAACATTCTCTATGATAAAAAATGTTTGTAAAAAATATTTTAATAACACGGTTTTGGCGGTTGTAGAGTTATGATGGCGTTCAAATACATAACATTAGACTAACGTTAGCCAGCGTATAGTATCTTGATTCAGTATGCTAGTATTTATTTGAGATATTGTTTTTTTATTAATTGAGCAGCAGAAAAAATATTCTTTATATTAGTCGTCCAATTAGTCATTAGATTAGTCGACTAATCGATAAAATAATCGCCCAACTAATCGTTTAGCTAATAATCGTTTACCCCAGCCCTAGTGCACGCGCACTAACCCCCCAGACCCACCCTCAAATACTCCTTGCCAGTGATTGGCTGGAACATCCGAGTGAGACATGATTGTTTTTGTAGCCGTTTGTGGAGCCTGTGGTGTCTACAGAGACCGCGTTTTTTTACAGTGTGTTTAGGGGACAGGCAGCTAGCCGATAGTGAGGAGACGTTTGATGTACGTGACAAAAAATGTTTTTGCCCAGCATCGCTTGGAGAACCTTTAAACCTGTGTGTTACACCTGCATTTAACCTGCGTTTTAAAGTGTATTGAACCTGTGAGCTGCATCGTGTACCTGTGTTAAACCTGTGTTTTAAGTGTGTTTACCCTGTTTAACCTGTGTTTACTCTGTGTTACCTTATGGTGACCCCTGTGTTAACCTGTGTTTCACCTGTGTTTCACCTGTGTTTAACTTCTGTTTACCCTGTATTTCACCCTTGTTTCCCATGTGTTATTCCTTAGGCGGGGCGCTTCGGTCAGCTGACGTACGTGCGTGTATATCAGGGTTGTCTGAGGAAGACCGAGTACATCTATAACACCCGCACGGGGAAGAGGGTGAGAGTTCAGAGACTCGTGCGACTCCACGCAGACCAGATGGAGGTGAGACATGTTTCTCTCTCAGTGAGACTGTTCATTTCTTCTCTCTCACTCACTACATTTACATGCAACCAAATAATCCATTAGTAATCGAATTAACAGCTCAATCAGACTGAAAAGCCTTCATGTAAACACCGATTGAGCTCGATCCCAATGAGATTTGGATCGGATTGAAAGGGGTGGTTCATTCCTTTTCTAATCCGATCGTGAGAACGTAAACTCTTGATCAGATCGAAAACCGAAACTGAAAGGACTGCACATGTGCAGTGATACAGACTGTTCTTCAGATGAAGAGTGTGTGGTTGTTTCTTGTGTTGTTCAGGACGTAGAGATGGTGTTTGCTGGAGACATCTGTGCGCTGTTTGGCATCGACTGTGCCAGCGGAGACACATTCACTGCCCGCACTAATGCCAACCTCTCCATGGTACGTCATCAAACGAGAATATCACCCTAAGAAACACAGGGATCCCGAACACGCGTTGAGAACATCTGTGTAATAATGTGTGTGTTCCAGGAGTCCATCCATGTTCCTGAGGCTGTGATCTCCATGGCCATACGACCCGCCAACAAGGTACAGGACCACTGAAGCCCTCGCTCGCCCGCTCTCTCTCTGTCCTCATCTATAAGAGTGTGTGATCGGCTTCCTCTTCTGTCCTCTAGAACGACACAGACAAGTTCTCCAAGGGGATCAACCGCTTCACCAGGGAAGACCCCACGTTTAGAGTTCACTACGACACCGAGAGCAAAGAGACCATCATCTCCGGCATGGGGGAGCTGCATCTGGAGATCTACTCGCAGGTACACACACACACCTTTGAGCTGCACCTGGAGATCTACTCGTGTGTGTGTGTGTGTTCTAAAGGATGGAGAGGGAATATAACTGTAGCTGCGTTTCCATTACCCTTCAATTTGCGCAAATTGAAATTGCGAAATGAAAATACGCTCAATGGAAACACGTCAGTTTCGCAAAAACTCCCGTTTATCGCAAAAAAGTTTTTACGCTCGCATGAGGAGGTTTTTCAGGCAATTCGAAAAAGGATTTTTTCGCAAAACTGCAATGGAAACGGATTTTGCGCATTTACAGTCACCTGACTTAGAAGACGGAGTGTGTTTTAGGTCCGTGTCCGGAAATAATAATAATAATAATTATCATCATTAGCCTATTATAACATTTATTAGGCTACATGTAGAAGAGGCTTTTTTATCCAAAAAATGAACAAAGCAATTCGTCACATCTCATTCATGTACAGGTTGGACAATAATAAGCTAAGATTATCACAAATAAACACTCGATTTTGACCAATATATCCAAGAGTGTGTGCGGAGTTTGGAGCACTGGATGGCAGACAGGCGTGGGCGCGTCGTGAACACTTTCATTTTCCCATCAACAGTGGAATCAACTTAAAATACTCTAGCATTTCTGGTTATACAGAAAATAATAATACATTATTCGCAACTACTTTTATTTGCGTAATGTCACAATAACAAGAAAATGTTTTTCTTTTGTAAAATAACATAAAACAATCAGGCGCGCTTTATGATCTTCGTGAACTGGAGCGCGAGAACTGAACCAATAGCCTTTATAGACTAAGTTTTAAATGTCCACTTTAAAAAGAACAAATTCGAATCGTAAGCTAATATCTTCTGATTATGTAATCCGTATGAAAGGTGCCGTTCTCTCTAAAGGTGCATCCGGAGATTATGTTTTTAGCTCGTTATTTTTTCAGACGCATTTATAATAATAAAGCACTGCGGGAAAAAATATCATAAATAGGCTATCCATGTTCTAATTTGGCCTTAGAAAACCAGTAAAATCTACATTTTTTTCCCCATATTAATTTGTGAATATTTTAAATGTTTTAAAGGGAGCAAAAAGTCATAAACAAATATCTGAAAATTCATTGAGATGTAGCCTATATAGCGCAGCATTGGTGTGGTCAAACTAAAATGATGGTGTTTAACTTTGCGTTTTAAAAATACAACAACCGTTCATTTTTCTTTTTGCAACGACCGTTTGGACATAATACGAGATAGAGTTCTTTATTAAATTCATATAAAAAAGAAACGATAATCACAGGAATAGCCTCTCTAAACCTCAAAGAAATGCCATCAAGACATCGAAGCAGAAATAAGGGAGAAACACCAGGAACTCAATGCTTGGTTAACACATCACGTCTCCTTCCATTAATAATAATAATAATAATAATAATAATAATAATGTCTAGTGCGGTGCATGGCTGTGAAATAAGTTATAAACCTACCAAAGTCCGTTGATTTTGCATAACATCGGTTAATGGAAACACCGTCATTTCGCAATAGTTTTTTATCGAAATTTGTAAAATATCGCAAAAGTTTTGTGCAAATCTGTAATGGAAACGCGCCTTGTGTGTGTTCTAGAGGATGGAGAGGGAGTATAACTGTCCGTGTGTGATGGGGAAGCCGAAGGTGGCCTTCAGAGAGACGGTGACCAGCGCTGTGCCGTAAGTCCTGCACTTACACACATCACACATGAAGAAATCATATTCATGTCATCTGACGGATGAAGATCTGATCCTGAACACAGACCTTATCCTCAACTCAAGCCGAAGTCATCGTAACTCTTTATTTTACAGTGGTTACACACGTTACATACAGCTACTGTACTGACTAGCGCTGTCAAGTAAAGATTCGGATTGAGCTTTTCAGCCATTTTGACAGCCCTAGCAGTGGAAAGTAAGTACATGTTGTTAATGAATATCACTCTGCACTTAAATGTAGAATTAACTGTTAAAAGGAAACATAGTAGTAGTTTAACCAAAATCATTTGAAAAAGTAAACATTAACTGAATACGTTTTTTTTTTTAATCCAATTTGCGTTAAAAAAAACACGTATAAAACTTTAACCTTTAAAAAAAACGTATAAAACTTTAACCGACTTGAATTGAACACAGGAAATATACAATATCTAATTTAAAATATGGCATATGTTTGCATGTGTCCAGCCGTGCGGTCAGAGAGGAATGAACTGCAGCCAGCGGTGTTTCTCTCTGTTTATTAGTGTTGATGCGTGATCAGACAGTGTGTGTGTGTGTGTGTGTGTGTGCTCAGTCTGCTGTTGGCGGGCCGGTATCATGAGGGCACTTGGGAAGCCACTCGGTCTCCAGCACTCTCACGCCCCCCTCAGGAGACCAGGAGCATAACAGCTTCCAGTGGATGATCTCCTGCTCAACAGATCATGATATTAACACACACTCGTCCTCAGTCCGAGACTCTGCTTTAATGATGTGTGTTCCTCACCTGCGAGACGATGTCATGAAGGAGAACGTGGTACCTCAGCATCAGCTGCTTCTCGCTCGTCTCCTACGATAGAGGATGAAATTACTTGAGGCAATCACTTACAACACGTTAAAGCAGGGGTATTCAGTCAAAGTCCAAGAGCAGTGTGTGTGTGTGTGTGTGTGTGTGTGTGTGTGTGGAGCTCTGACCTGCTGTGTGAGGTTGGCCACCTGTGCCAGGTTATACTCGGTGTTCTCGCTGGACTCTCTCAGCATGATGAAGGACGCCGCCACACGAGCCAGATGCCAGAACGGCTGCATGTCCTGACTGATGTTCCCATAGCTGTCTGCACACACACACACACACACACACAGAGAGAGAGAGAGAGAGTTCAGGTGTGTGTGATGGATACTAACGTTCATAAGTTTGGGGTCGGGAAGATTTTTGAAGTTGTAAATGCAGCCTTGGTGAGCAGAAGAGACTTCTCTTAACAACATTAAACATCTTTCTGATCCCAAACGTTTGACTGGTAGTGCTGGTGTGTTAGTGTGTGTCACACACACCCGGCAGGTCATGCGCGGAGACGGCGCTGTGAGGCGGTGTGTGTTTCTGGTAGAAAGCGAGTTCCTCCGGCGAGCTGCTGATTTGTGTCAGATCCTCACAGCGCAGATGCACCTCCGGGGGAGTGTGTGTGCGCGTCTCCGTCGGGGGGAACAACACGTCCGCTGAGCAGCGCAGCACTGAGCCCTGACACACACACACACACACAAGAAACGTGTCATGATGGAAAACCTGGGCTTCACTCCATCACATGCGTTCAAAAGCTTGGGGTCGGCGAGACCTTTTTTCATTATAAAGACACTTGTAAGGTTACAAAAGTGTATTAAATGCTGTTTTTTTGAGCATTCTATTCATACAACATGAAATATGAAGCAGCACAACTGTTTAACACTGAAAATCATTACAATGCAGTCCCTCCAGGATTTCGCGGGCCTTTTTTGTGATTGTTGCGGCCTAAAATGCCTGATGTTGCGGCCGCTTTTTTAAAAAGTTGCGATAAAAGTTGCAAAGTTCTTCTGCATGTTTTTATAGGTTAAAACGGCAAAGATAGATAGATTTTTTACTTAAAATGCCCATATTATGCTTTTTGGCTTTTCCCCTTTCCTTTATTGTTATATTTTTTTGTGCATGTTATAGGTTTACTAAGAGAGAAAAGTCCAAAGTCCACCCCAAAGGGACTTATTATGTCCCACAGAAAACACTGTTCATCATCTGCATCTGCTCTATTGTAGTCCAGAATTGACTTAAGAGACAAAGTCACACACTTTGTAACACACGAACAAACTAACTAACCATTAGTAACCATGAAAGGCAAAACAAACGATTTAAAGACACAGCAAAACCTAACAAACTAAGCTTCTTTTTTTTTTTTAAACAAGATCTGCACCTGCAAAAAAGTCAATGTGCAGAACCTCACAAACATTAAGCAGCATTTATGTTGAAAGATGCCAATACTAATAAAGTGCAAAATACAGTTTTAGGAATAGCCACTAAAGTTAAATGGTGGAAAAACCAAAATGTTTGATAATGTATTTTAATATAGCTAATATAATATAATATAGCCGCATATCCAATAAAGCTTAATTTTTTTTGTCAGACAATAGAACGAGTCGGCTAGCTATTTTTTATGTGTAAAATTTTCTGAATTGAGAGAGTTCGGGAACTGGGTGAACTAATGCACTGTGATAGTGAGTAGCCTATTACAAGTAATAAACACAAGAAAAGAAAGGAAAATAAAATGATCAAACTCAATTCTTTAAATATAAAACAAAAGAGAAGCAGATAAGTGATAAGTCCGTGGAAACAACACTGCTCATTCGCGTGTGTCAGCTGCCGTGCTGCTCCTCTACTGCAGCCGTTCGCAGAGAGACGTGTGACGGCAGGGAGAAAGCAAACCTCGCGCTCGCAGGCAACATTTGGTTACTGAGGGTTGTCCAAAAAGCCGCTAGATTTGTCTCTAGTCGCTTTTTTTTATATCACTAAATATAGCGACGACTAAGTTGGCAACATTGGCCTTTTCTGTTATTTTTGTAGGTAGCCTAAATGTGAGACATTGGCAGTCCACATCTGCTGCGTCTTCTGAACAAAACAAGTGAGTTTGCTGACGTATGACGACGCTTTGCAAGAGACCGCGGCGCGATGATTCGTCAAAGTTGCAGAAAAGTTGCGGTGATTTTTCAAAATTGCAAGGCGCACTGAATTCACGTGGATTTGTTGAAGTTGCGTTAATAGTTGCGATCGCGACATCGCGAAATCCTGGAGGGACTGACAATGATTTCTGAAGGATCATGTGACACCGAAGACTGGAGTAATGATGCTGAAAGTTCAGCTTTTGATCTCAAGAATAAATTGCACTTTACTATATGGCCTGACCCTGCTCGCAACGAAAGCCACCGCCCAGCCCATCAGGAGGGCTATGGCCAGTTGAGTGGTGCCTTCCTCGACTCTCCTCTTTCCTCCACTGGTCTCTTCGGCCCTGCGGTGGACGGCTTCGCTGAGCGCTTCATGACTACACAGAAGGCATCGCAGCTATCGCTCCAGACTCAGCAGCCAGCCAAACCAGCGTCCTCATCAGACAAAACCCTTCCCACCTAAGCGTCAGCGACCCCGGCTTAGGATTACGCTGGACCAAGAAGCAGTCCTGCTCATCCAGACAGGAAGAGTTGAGGGTTAAGTCTCGCTGTGGCCGGACCACACTCCTAAAAGCCCCCGTCACAGACTGATTTTGAGATTTGCTTTCGAAGGGGTGGCCTACCTGTATACATTCCTCCCATTCGGACTGTCTTAAGGGCCCCCCCCCCTGCCTCGGGCCCTGGGTACTCGGTACCCTTTACCCCCCCAGTCCGACGCCCCTGCCTGGGCCCAAGCACTTTTACGAAGTGCTAGATGCAGCATTATCCCCCCTTAGACAGAAGGGAATGAGCATCTTGAACTACATCAAGCTCATTCTGGCCCAGTCGGAGGAACAGATCTGTGCTCCTCAGCCATTTGGACTCATAATCAGCACAGCCAAGAGCTCTCTGTTCCCCATCCTGGGTGCAGTTATAGACTCAGTCCATGTCCTAATCCAATCACACAACACGACAGTAGTGTCCTAAATAAACCGTCAGGGTGGGCTCAGGTCGAGACCTTTGTACAGGCTAGCCAGAAGTCTCCTCTTATGGGCACAAGGCAACCTGTGCTCGCTGAGAGCGACTCGTGTGCCGGGAAGACTGAACCAGGGAGCAGACATGCTTTCCTGGGGCAATGTATCACCAGGGGAATGGACCCTTCAGAGCGTTTTTGGGAGAGCAGAAGTCAACCTCTTCACTTCAGAAGACTACTTTCACTGCCTAATATTCTTCTCGAAAGGCAGTCCTTCTAGTGGCCCCTCTCTGGCGGACCCAATCTTGGTTCCCCGAGTTGATCACAGCAGCCCCAAGGCCGATACCCCTAAGGAAAGACCTCCTTTCCCAAGCGAACAAGATGATTTAGCACTATGGGCCCTCCATGTGTGGCCCCTCAACAGGAGCTTACGAGAGTCCTAAACACCATTTAGGGCCCGCCCACAAGACACCTCCACACCCTTAAGTGGTCTGTGTTCTCCAGCTGGTGCTCAGCCCAGAGTCTAGACCCTGCTTACGCCAAGTACCTCTGGTACTTTCATTTCTTCAACAGCTACTCGACTCTAAAGTTGTCCTTAAGGCAAGCCATGGTTATGTGCCCAAAGCTCAAGTACTGCTCTTCTCACGTCTCAAGACGAGCAACAACTGCTCCTGCTCCTCCCGGTCCGGGCCCTGAGAACATATATAGAGCGCTAACGTAACCTCGGTTCCCTGAGATAAGGGAAGGAGTATTGTGGAGATGGCCGAGCTATGTCGCACACGACTTGCTGTTCATTGCTTCAGTCGATTTAACCTGAATCCTATGGCGAAATGAGTGTCTTTGGTAGGCAGATGCCCCGCCCCTTCTAGCAGGCTCTGCGCTCGGTTTAGCGGGCCTGATTGGCTCGCGCAGTTGCGCCGCTCCGCCATAGGCTCATGCATTTCCCACTGATCAGCCAATAAGTGTGTGATTAATCGCTGGACTGTTATGGCGATGCAGTAGCACTGCGTTATTTTATAAACGGCTTCAGTATTCAGAGAAAAAGGAGTTTTCCCCATTTCGTCTAGGAGACGCAATACTCGTTCCCTTATCTCAGGGAACCAAGGTTACGTTATTAACCGATGTGTTTTACATTGGAATAATATTTCACCGTTTTACTGTATCTTTTATGAAATAAATGCAGCTGGTGAGCAGAAGAGACTTCTTTAAAAAAAACCCATTGGAACATCTTGCTGACCACAAAACGTTTTGTAATGCATCGATTAAGGAGTTTAATAATACTACTTTAATATATATTGCTGTTACTATAATAGAATATTTGGAGAATATCCCAATTTTAAAGTATGGCTGGCACTTTCTGTCCGGGAACCGCCACTCAATCAAAATGACGGTTTATGACAAATAATCCTGATCCCATCAGTTTGACTGAATGAGCTGGATTACGTCAGAATCTGTTTTGTGTTTTAATCAGACGTCAGTCTCACAGCAAGGCATGTTTCTACAGCAGGGAGAAACACAACGCTTGTTATCTGTCAAAATGACAGATAATAGTTAATGATGAAACACAACATCCGTATTACATAACTTAGGTTTGCCAGGGTTTCAATGGACTGAATCTTTGATGGATTGAATATTATAAAGTGTTTTTAACCTTCGCTGCATGTGAACCTGTTGTAGGAGACTCCAAAACAACATTAGGAACCTTTAAAATAGCATAACGGGGCACTTCAATACTCTTATAATTTTAAGTTAGATGGCTAATGTAGTTAAAATGTTAACAAACAAACCTTATTGTAAAGTGCTACCGAAAACATTATTTAAATATCATACCAAAATCAAATCATATTGTGGTGAAAAAAAGATTGTCAGAGTGAACAGATACTCTCTTCTCGAACAGCGACAGAAGTTTATGCACTGATTCCAGAGCTCTTCCAGCGGGTTTAACAGGAGTGGGTCGTGTTGTTGACTGGGTTTTACACCTCGTCTGTAATGGATCTGAAACGTACCGAGCTTCCATAGTCCATCACGGAGAAATCCAGGCTGTACTTCCTCCCTACGGTTCCCACGACCTGTCAACACAAGAGTCAGAGTCATCCTTCAGCAAACACTCACAGGCCCAGTCTCGCTGAAGGCAGAGGACGAGCACAACTCCAGAGCACGCAGATCTGAAGAGAGAACTTGAACAATAGATATTCGTACTGGTGTGCTAACATTTACACTCACAGCTCCAATGTGAAAACCCGTACAATAAAAATATTTGCACTCGCAGACAAGTCACAAACCTGAACTCTGAATTTAAATCTGCAGACAAGCTGTAGGTAGAAATGTGTAAAAGGCCACTCACAGAAATACAAAGACAGACAAACCTCACTTAGGCACTGCAACTTCTCAAATCTGCCATTTCATGCTTCACACCTTGACTTTCGCAACTATTTCCACGATATATTAGATTCAAAACTAACTTAAAACTACTTGTCTGTCACTTCAAATGCAGAATTTGGGTTTGTGATTATTGTATGTATTCTGAAATCTGTGTGCTGTGAAGTTCTGCTCCTGCTTTGCCTTCACGAGCGTCTGAGCTGAAGTGTGTGTGTGTGTGAGCTGGCCTCACCTGGTCCTCCGCCGTGGCCGTGTGCACCTGCTGCAGGCCGAACACCCTGAAGGGCGAGCCGTGGTGTGTGTTCAGGTGATGCAGGGCCACTTGAGCCGCCCGCCGCGCTGGGAAGTGTGTGGGAACCAGCTCTCCGGTGGCCATCGTCGGTGTCTGAGAGAGCAGAGGCACACACAAGCACTGAGACACACCTCACTCACAGGGTGTGTGTGTGTGTGTGTGTGTGTGTGTGTGTGTCTTACACTGGACTTTGAGTCTCTAACAGTTGAGTAACAAGAGCATGTGATCACTGTCAAAACGAGGAGATGAAGAAATACTCAAGTGTTCAGACACAAGCAGAAGCTGCTAGGAAGAGTTTCCGCACTTCCTGTTGTGTGCTGTAGCCCCGCCCTCTTTTAAAGAGACACCGCACTCTCAGCACATCCAAAATAACCTGGCTCTTCCAACCCTTATAATGGCAGTTTTGAAGACTATAAAGGTGTGTCCATCCATCTTAAGTGCTCCGGGGGTTAATAAAGGCCTTCTGAAGGGGAGTGATGCGTTCGTAACGGGTTAAAGGGTTAGTTCACCCAAAAATTAAAATTCTGTCAGTATTTCCTCACCCTCGTGTTGTTCAACCCCGTAAGACCTTCGTTCATCTTCGCAACACAAATTAAGATATTTAAGATATTAAGATCGCTCCTGCATACAGTCCATAGGTTTCTTGAGGGACTGGCTCTTGCTGGCATAGAAAAGTCATTAAAGACATCGTTAAAATAGTCCAACTGACTACAGGGGCTCAATCTTAACTTTATCAAATGACGCGAACACTTTTGTACGCAAAAACAAACAAAAATAACTACTTTATTTCAACTAGTAGCCTGTAGTGTGATTGTGTAAAGCTACGTCACACGTAGGCTCACTATTGGCCGACGCTGGTCATGTGTGTGATGCGTGTGACGTACAATAACAGAAGCTTACGCTATTAAACTAGTAACCTGACTCAAGGTAGAGGGAGAAATAAACGAATAGTTGAAATAAAGTCGTTATTTTTGTTGTTTTTGTGCACAAAAGTGTTCTCGTCGTTTGATAAAGTTAAGATTGAGCCCCTGTAGTCACTTGGACTATTTTAACGATGTCTTTAATGACTTTTCGAGTCATTCCCTCAAGAAGCCTATGGACTAGTATGCAGGAGCGATCTTAATATCTTAAATATCTTAATTTGTGTTGCGAAGATGAACGAAGGTCTTACGGGGTTGGAACAACATGAGGGTGAGGAAATACTGACAGAATTTTCATTTTGGGTGAACTAACCCTTTAAATACGGATGTTTTTCTCACACAAAGTAAAATGGCCGGATGATAAAGATCTGTCGTGGCTTAAAACAGTCCTGTGTTACCCTTCATGTGTCGGTCAAAAAATACTGAAAGAAATGTTCTATATTTTAGTTCGACAATTTTTTTGTATTTTTAGGGGATTTTATGGTACTAAAAATATATTTACGCTGTATTTATAATCTATTTAAATCTGTGAGGAAATCAAAGCCATAAATCGACACCAGTGTGTTGTGCATGTGCGCTGATCTCGCGAGTGTGTGTGTTCGGCTGCAGTTCCTCGCGCTTCCACTAGAGGACGAGACCAGTGGGACTGCTGCTTTCAGGAGCGTTTAACCTGCTCCAGTCAGGGCCATGATTGTTCTTGTGTTCACACTGCCGGTCCCAAAACCTTTACCAAGTCTCGTACCATTCCGATGAATACCACCTGAAATGTGTTCATTTGTTGGGTCAGAATTGACCGTAGAGCACCAGAGATACACACAGATATTACATCATCTCTCAAAACTGTTAATGCCGTCGCGATATTGCTGGTTATGTCCACATCAGCATCCACAGAGAGCGGAGAGTAATGTGAACACTGGACGTGTGTGCTGCAGGTTCGACTTCACCCATAAGAAGCAGTCTGGAGGCTCGGGTCAGTACGGTAAAGTGGTGGGCGTCCTGGAGCCGCTGGAGCCCGAGAACTACACCAAACTGGAGTTCAGCGACCAGACCGTGGGCACCAACATCCCCAAGCAGTTCGTGCCCGCCGTGGAGAAGGTGAGCGAGGATCACATCCCAGTCGGCCCACGTTCATTAGCGTGTTTGAATATGTGCGCAGATTACATATTGAAGGCGCATTAGTTTGATTTATGGCTTATTGATACCGCACGATTAGTGGACTAGAGGTCAGTGTGAGCCTGTGTGTGTCCTCAGGGCTTCAGGGAGGCGAGTGAGAAGGGGCCGCTGACGGGACACAGGATCTCCGGCGTGCGGTTCGTGCTGGACGACGGGGCGCATCACATGGTGGACTCCAACGAGATGTCCTTCATCCGGGCCGGAGAGGGCGCTCTCAAACAGGGTATGTGCCCCCTCCTCCTCTACTGTGTGTGTGTGTGTGCGTGTGTTGACGTGTGTGTCCCTGTGCGCAGCGCTGGAGAAGGCCAGTGTGGTGATCCTGGAGCCGGTGATGTCAGTGGAGATCGTGGCTCCTGACGAGTTCCAGGGGGCCGTGATCGCAGGGGTCAACCGCAGGCACGGCGTGGTCACGGGGCAGGACGGGGCCGAGGGCTACTTCACACTCTACGCCGACGTGAGTCGCTCCCTGGACCTCCACACATTATAGATCACACTCGGGGTGGGAACATGTGGGCCGATAACAGATATATCGGCCGATAAATACAGACTTTGAGAGCTGGATTTCAAAAACAAAGCTCACCATTAAACGCCACGGCCCAAACACTTCAGATATACAGCCTGCTTTTTGTCATCTTAAGTCGCTTATATGACACACACACTCTGTATTTTCCTCAAAGTGATTTCGATCACATTTAAGGCCATCATGTTGAACATTCGCATCTGAAGCGTCTCAGCTGAGGGAAATAACACACCATTGTTCAGCTTTAACATATCGGACTCATTCTCTTATCGGGTCGACATTAAAAATGAACCTGTATCGGCCGATGCTCACATGTTGTGCTTCGCTCAAACCGTATTCACTTTATAGCCCTTAATCCTGTAATTGTGGACACATGTGGGCACAGAGGACTGATCCTAATTTGTATTTATTATAAATGTTATATCACTGTCTTCGATAAAGTTTTGTCTATTCATTTATGGTGTTTTTTTTATATTTTGGAATTTATTTACTTCAAAAAGTACCATATTTTCTATGTAAATTATGCTTATTTTTATGTTTTATTTTTTTAACTACATTAAAATATCTTTCCAGTAAGTTCTTAGAGCTGAAACCTAAAGATGAAGTGACTTTGCCGTCAGCTGGTGTCTTATTTTGGCTTATTTTAGTTTAATGCTCTACTTTTTCCAGTAAGAGATTAGAAACTGCAAAAAAACTAAAGGAAAACATTCAGACGTGTTGTACAGTAGTAGTACACATTTACAGTGTGTGTAAATGTGTGTGTGAGATTAACCCTTGTGATCATGTTTCAGATCCCGTTGAATGACATGTTTGGATACGCCACAGAGCTGCGCTCCTGCACTGAGGTAAAACACACACACACACACACACACTCAGCGCTGAAGACTGTAGAGTGATCATGCTTGTTCACAGTGTGTGTGTGTGTGTGTGTGTGTTCAGGGTAAAGGCGAGTACACCATGGACTACAGCAGATATCAGCCCTGTCTGCCCAGCGTTCAGGAGGACCTGGTCAACAAACACCTGGAGGCCACGGGACAGATGCCCGCCAAGAAGAGCAAGTGGAAGAACTGAACACACACACACACGGACGTTTGTAAGAGGTGAACAGTCAAGAAGGTCACAGGGATTGGGAGGGTTTGCTCAGTAACTGTAAATGTCGTTGTACAGCAAATGGTCGCAAATGTGGTGATTTAATATAAAATGATGATGTTTTAAATCAGTGTGTGTTGAGTCGCATTGGGAAAGACGTAACACACTTCACCTGACTGGAGCGATTACACACACACACACACACACACACGATAGCTTGATTCCCTCAGACCAGTGAAACATAAACCTAATGTTGAGAGCGAGAGGAGGCATTTTACGCCACACACACCCAGGTCGGTTTACACACACACACACACACACCAGAGCTCAGCGGGAATCTGTTTACTGTGTTAATATAAAGCCGTATGTGACGCGCCTCACCTGACGACACACACTGATGAGCCAGAACTAATGATCATAACCGATTACAGTCCTCCTGTGGAGGCGGGGCTCATTTGCATATTCATAGAACCACGCATACTAAATGAGGCAAGAGTGTTGAGTTACATTCAAGATATTTTTAGGCAATTTTTCAAGGAAAAAAATGTTCATTTTGATGTTTAAAATGAGTTTTAGGGGATAAACTGATTGACTACAGGAGGACTTTAATATGCGGCCTTGTTAGGAGATGATCAACAATATTCGCTTCACCGATGACTACAAAATAATGTTTTGGCTCGCCGATGTACGTGGAAACAAAATGATGAAGAGAAATAAACATTTAGACTTTGCAAACACAGTTTTTTTTGTGTTTCATCCAATCTGATTAAAAGATAAGCACGTCTGAATCCAGTGATTTTGTCACTTCCTGTCTACTGAGATCCCTTCATCTGATTGGTTTGTGTCCTTCGCTGCTTATGATATCCCACAATCCTGTGTGTTCGATTACATGAAAAGAATCAAAATGGCGTCTGAAAGTAGCGATCGGTGGTCAGTTTTTCTACAATATTAAATAATATTGTAGTAATTAAATGTTCACTTAGTTATGCATCTCATTACATTATTAAGCTTCCTCAGAAATCATCGCATGACCCAAATCAGCCGTCGAAGCGTTCAAATCCCTCTTTCTGGATCACAACAGCCCCGAAGATGCTCAGGCCGGACAGTAAGACAGGAATAACCTCAGCAAACACAGCACAGGAACATGAACCTAACGCAGACTGCCGTAATGAGCACTGGTTACCTGGGACGGGGCCGGCGCCGGGTCCGTGGGCCGCGTGAAGCAGTGAGAGACGGGTAGAGCCGCACTGAGCTCAAGCAGAGAGAGAGAGAGGAGCAGCCAGATCATCCTCAGCTACACAACACTGACGCTTTCCAGACGAGAGATCTCCTCACACAGATCCAGAAGCCACGAGTTCACTCAGACACTCGATCATTCACACAGGACACAACACATCTCAGAGTTCATCAATCCCTCCAAAATGATGTCACTTCCTGGAAGATGATGCCAAAAAGGACCTGGCTCAAGTTCAAGAGACTTCACAGAGGAGGAAAGTGATATTGAGGACACGGATTGTTTACTCAAAGATAATATTTTGCGCTCTGTTTCAGGAAATCATGCATACTAAACAGTAAAGTGATCCATATATCATCTGAGTGTCGTGTAACAATAAAACACCAGGAGGCTGGACCAAAGAAGGAAATCTGTCCACTTTTACCATGTGTAATGGGCTGTTGAAGCTATAAGCCCACTGCTAGCTAGAAAACAACAGCATGCTATTGCTAGCAGAAGGTTAACATTTAGGGAGACAAGAAATAAACATGTTCATGTCCAGTATGAACACAACAGGGTTGACATGGTATGTTTTACGCCATTAGAGTCTTCAAGAAATGATAAAAATAGAGAACTGACACTTACTTTGTTCTTGGAGTTGCTTTCCCTCCAAGGAAATGATGTCACGTCTAGCAGGTCATGTGATTTATGGCAGAAACTGGAGTTTGGCAGACAAATTTAATGGTTTTGCGTGTTATATAATCACAATATTATTTAGTACATTTCTGGAATATAATAAAATTGAAGAAAAAAATGTTGTTTACATTCTAAATTAGCAATCCAATTTAAAATAACCTTCATTGGTCCCATTTAGGTGACCTTAACTATTATGTAGGCTACTTGCATATAACATTAATGATAATATAGCCTACGTTTATTATCAATTAATTTGTAAAATCAGTTGACATAAGTTAATTCACATTTTTGCGTAAACTATGACGTATTGTTTCATGGCGAAATAAACCCACCAAACTAAATGACTCGACACATCTTACGAATCGCTGAATCAGTTTCGAGTGTTTGAACCGAATCAACACACGGTCTGAACGCGTTTCCAACGGTCATCCGCTTCTGTGGACGACGTGTGTAAATAAACTCGTGTTTTTAAACACGAATTTAATTGTGAGAATAACACACACACAACACTGAAAATACAAGAAAAAATATAAATATATACCAGGAAATGCGAGATGAAAAATCCAAGTTGAAAAAAAAAAAACTGCAGCGTTCCCTATTGATCACGTGACCTCAGCCGCCTGTCACATGACTGCGCTAGTTTGAACCATAGGTTTGAACATGGCAGACAGAGAGGAGCACCGGAGTCTCTTAGATGACGATGATGAGGATGAAGAAGATGAGGGGTCTCGGCACCTGAGCCCGCTGTGTGACCCGAGGCACCTGCTCCACCGGATCCTGGTGCTGCTCTTCATGTGTTTTCTGGGCTTCGGTAAGAACAATCCCGACGACGAGTCACAAGACACACACACACAATCCACATAAGTTATCCATAAAGCGTTATATTCGCATGATAGCGTGTGGTCTTACTATGTTGTGACCCTGTTTGGGCTCAGTGGTGTCAGATTTCATGTGAAAGTGAAACTCTGTTTGTTGTGTCTGTTTCAGGGAGTTATTTCTGTTATGATAATCCAGCTGCGCTTCAGACTCAAGTCATACAGGTGTGTGTGTGCATTTAGGCTCATGTCCTCTGAGAAAACAAGCATGATTTAATGTTTATGGTAATGTAATGTGTGTGTGATGGTTCTGGGCTCGTTGCAGAAGCCCAGTTGTGTTTGTCTAGTAGGACTGAATGTGTAATAAAGCATCAGCTGAGAGAGTGTGTACTGCTGTCACTGATTGACTGGCGTCTGTGTGTGTGTGTGTGTGTGTGTAGGATATGAGTCTGAACACGGCCTCCTTCATGCAGCTGTACGCCTGGTACTCGTGGCCTAACGTGTTCCTCTGCTTCCTGGGAGGCTTTCTGTTGGACCGGGTCTTCGGCATCAGGTCCAGTCCACACACACACACACACACACACACACTCTCAAGCTTCACTCATATCTCATAACGTCTGCTTTGTTCATATGGCTGCTGGACTGTGAGTGTGTGAACGTCAGCTGACTAACTCTTGTGTTGTTTTAGGCTGGGGACTATCATCTTTGCTCTGTTTGTGTTAATCGGGCAGTAGGTCATCACACACACACACATGAATAGATAATTTTGGATCGAAACATCGATTCCAATTGTGGCATTGAATACTTGAGTTCAGGAATCAGATACTTGTTATAAAATAAACATTCGGATTCCTCTTATCGATTGCTCTGTGAGCATTTCAGTGTGAGTTTAACCCTTGTGCTGCATTAGATTTTTAACACCGTTGAGTGCATTAAGGACCAAAAATGGCCACATATTAAACATTGCCTAAAATATTATATATTATTATTATTTTCCACTTTTACCAAGTTAAATCTTTTAACCAGCATCAGTCCTCATCATAACTACCAACAATGTATTCAATTTCAGGATTTTAACCCTTTAATTACCAGTTTGTTTTGGCGAAACATCGATTTGTATAAGAGGAAAAAATACAAAAAATTCAATTATTTTCAATAAACTAAATGCAAGAGAAAACTTTAGATTTGGATTATCACAGTCCCACTTGCAAAAAATCCCACTTAGCGCGTTAGAGACCAAAAATGGCCACCTATTAAACATTGCCTATTGCCTAAAATAAGGTGCATTTCCACCCATAGGAATAAATATGTAGTGACGTCATCACTATATAATGCAAATATAATCTTTTGCTTCAAAATGAAAGGATGTTTGTGCAAAAATCATGTTTCATGTATTACTGACAGCCTCAGAATTTCAACAACGTTTTAATGGGTTTCAATGGGCCATTTTTGGTCTTTATGGTGCTGAGTTTTACTATTTGATCTACACAGGTGTGTGTTATACACTATTTTGCAAAATGGGATCACACTTTTTACATTATCCAAAAAGTCAAAATTTTGCCAAATTTCATACCATTTGCATTAAAACAGCCAAAATGGTCAAAGAAATTAACTGCAAAAGACCAAAAATGTCCCTAATTGCAGCATAAGGTTTAAAGCATCGACGTGTCGTGCAGGTGTGTGTATCTGGGCAACTGCAGGTGTGTGTAACTATACAGGGCCACTGTCGTCTCTATAACACTAATCAAACTACAAAAGTTCTTGCCTGACTAGCTTTTGTAACTATATAATGTATAAAGTGCATGATTGATTAGTTCCTGAAGTCTTACAACACTTTATTTTCAGTGTGGTCTTTGTTCAGTTGTGATTTCTAATTTTAAAAACGATACCCAACACTACACATAGATGACATGTACACTGTACTGCTACAGTCACCCACAACACTCACGCAGCCAGTTGACCGGGTGTGTGTGTGGTGTGTGTTTATGAGTTGTACGGTTGTTTTGCAGATCATATTCGCAGCCGGCGCTCTGGCCCAATCACTTCTGGCTGATGAACGTGGGTCGGTTGTGTTTGGGTGAGCGTGTCTCCTGACTGAAAGCCTGTAGTTGTGTGTGTGTGTGTGTGTGTGAACGCTGATCCTCTCTGCTGCTGTGCAGCATCGGTGGAGAGTCTCTGGCTGTGGCGCAGAACACGTATGCCGTCAACTGGTTTAAAGGGAAAGAGCTCAACCTGGTGTTCGGCCTGCAGCTCAGCATGGCCAGACTGGTGAGTGTTGTGTGTGTGTGTGTGTGTCAGACCTCTTACTAACCTCATAAAACAGCTTGATCATGTCGGTTTCAAGTCGATGTGCAGCTTCATTCTCGGGTTTAAAAGGATCGTTGACTCCGGAAACAATTTACTGGTTATTATAAATATACTTGATGTGAACCTGTTCTACATTTTATTAAAAAAAATATATATTTATATTCTCTATGACAGTGTTATTGTTAAACGACCCCTTCAGAAGTTTGGGTTTGATGAGATGTTTTAGTGTTTTAATGCGTTTATTTGATCATAAATAGTGGACCATGATTGTAGTGTAAATCATCAGTTTTCTGTGTAAGTATACTGTATAGTAAAGTGTAATGTATTCCTGTGATCCAATCATTACTCAAGTCTTTGGTGTCACATGATCCTCAGAAATCACTCTAATATGAGGATCTGATGATCAAGACACATTTATGATTATTATCAGTCCATATTTCTGTGGAAACCGTCATACAGAAAGCTCAAAAAGAACAGCATTTATTATCTTTTTCAACACTTTTGATCAGGTTAATGCGTCCTTGCAGAGTAAATGATTATTTATTTAAAATGACCTCAATCATTTGAACAGTAGTGTGTGTATGTGTGTATATATACAGTACCGGTCAAAAGTTTTAGA